ATCGTCGCCCGGCTCTGCCCTCGCGTTCCTGCCGGGCTACCCTGTCCTGCCTTTGTCAGGCGGAGGACGCAAAAGCCCGACTGCGGAATCGATGCGCGCGAGCTCCACTCGAAATCTGGAGCGAGCGATGCAAGTGGCGGCCTGCGTCGCGCGGTCGCGCAGCGCCGCGGAGAGCGGCCGAGCGAGAGACACGGGGGAGACACGGGGGAGACACGGGGAGAGCGAGAGAGATTGCGACTCGCGCTTAAAATGACACACTGACAAAGTGCTACAACTTTTTGCCCGGCTCCTTTTATCCGCGTGACGTGCAATCTCAATCAACTGCTTATGCGACTCAATTGCGACAAACGTCGCGCAAAAACCACTTTGCCGGCTCCGTGTCGCAACGCGCGCCGCCAGAAATACCGTTGATCCTTCGCGACGAGACGCGCGGACCGTTCGATCCCATACATTTGCACGGACGGGCCCTTCGCCTGGGCTCGACTTTTAATTGGCCAGCCGAACAGCCGGAGCCAGCGCAGCCCAAGTCCAGCGGTGCAGTGGCCAAGTTTTTCGGCGCTGGCTGGTCGCAGTGGTGCCTCGGCCGAAAGCAGCCCAGAGGGGTCTGATATTTTCAAGAAATCGCCAAGTCGGATGAGCGGCCATTTCCGAGAAGCGTTTTTATGGAGCTTGATTTCGCGTCTATTTATCGCTCGTAAAAGCCTGCGCGCGATTTAGGCGATAACTCATTGATTTTTTTTGGCCGCGCTGGCGAACCAACGGAAGAATTCAGCGGGGGCCTGTATAACTTACGCCCGGCGATCGCGACTACGTGAAATATTATTTCTCCGTTAATGAAGCTGCTAACGTACGCGTCAGGCCTGTTCGCGCGACGTATCGTCGAGTTTTTACCGCTGGCCGGCAGCGCCGAGTAGCGCGGTCCGCCGGCGTACGACGCACGGCCGCTCGCGAAAACTTTGATTTACGCGTACGCGGGCGACGCCGTGAAAAAAGCGAGCCGGAGAGAGCGAGAGAGCACGCGTTACGTAGCAGCGCGGCTATTGCTTTTAATCTGCCGCGCGGCATTGCGCCGTTTCTAATCGGATGAAGGCGGGCAGCGCTCTTTCGATCGTCGACCCTTTCTTCTTCTTTCTCGTTTTTATGCCCTCGGAAGGGAACAGGGAACGAGTCTGCCTGCCTGCACGCGCGCGCGTCATGCGGACCATTACTTGAGGACGTCGCGCGGCGTCGGCCCGAAATTCGCTCCGCGCTCCGCGGCTAACGCTGCTAATTTTTTTTAATTAAGCCCGCGCGTCAACGTTTTAGTACGACATACGTTGCCCGCTGATAAGCATCGCCGAGCCAATGCCAAGATCGGCGGCCATCCGTCTGTTCGCGTATGAGATAATAGCTGCTCGTGCGTGATCCAATTAAACCTTTGGAGCGGTTTTCGAGCGGTCGACGCGTCTTCGCTGAAAGCGCTACATTGCCGAGCGCTGCCTCTTCGCTCCATTCGCGCAACGAACCAGGCGCGATCATACGAAAATAATCGGCAGCAAGCGAAATGATAATCCCCCCCGCCACTCCCGTGTCATTGACCAGCGATCCGACAAGCGTGCTTGATGCTCGCAAATGAAAGAGCCGCCGATGCGAGGAATACGAGAAACTCCCTGCCACTCCGTGCTCGCGAGAGAGAACGAAAGCAACGGTCCTCGTGAATCGTGCGCGCGCCTCGCGACACAGTCCCTCTACTCGCCGCGGCCTTTGTCGCACGGGAAAACGGCTCACCTCCAAATGCTGCCAATTCAATTTGCTCTTTCCGGCTGATTCATTGCCAGCTTGCTCCGCTGTAATAGACCGCGCAGCCCAAACCTTTCTCTCTCTCTCTCTCTCTCCAACGACTCTTTTCGCGCGTTGCCCGCTTTTTACAGCTGCCTACAGTCTCTCCACGCGCGACCATACTTTTGCGCCTTATCGCCAGGCCCGTGACAGAGCGCGTTTATCTCTCTCTCTCTCTCTCTCTCTCTCTCTCTTTCGTCGAATAGCAGCTCGTTCGCGTATTGGCATAGCTGCGGCCAGGTGAGCAGATTTTTACCGCTCGCGCAGGCGCGTAACGTGGCACGAAACAACGCGCGGCAGGAGCAACTCCGCTCCGGTGGGCGCGGAGTCCACTCCGGGTCTTTCGGTAGGGGTCGAGGGCAGTGCCGAGGCGGCGACAGCGGCAGCAGTCTGTCGTCGGAGCGGATTGTTTGCGACGGGCAAACGGCGCTCGAGAGGGCTGCCTTTGAAAGGGAGAGCCCGCCGCTGCTGTCCTTGTTGCGCGCGCGCGCGCGCGCGGCCACGTCTCAATTATACACGAGTCCGTACTTGCGCGCGCTCGCGCAAGCACAATGTCGCACGGGCTACGCTAACCTTGAGCGCGCGCGCGGCTCGCGCGTGCATTCATCTGTCGCTCGGTTGTTTCTGCCTCGGCGAGCCGTGCAGCTTCATCGTAGCGCGACTCTCTAGAAGCAACGGAGGACAATAAATAGCGAGAAGCAGGGAGCTTCAATTAGCGGATGAAAATGTATTAACTAGATTTTAAACGCTGAGGCATTAGATTAGAGCGTATAATGCGCCAGTGCCGGGCAATCAGTGCTGTCTGCAGCGGCGAGATCGATAAAATGCGCGTTTATCGTCTATGCCGATCGCTCGAGCAATTAACAAGGAAGCTGCACGACAAAAGCTTGTAATGAGAGAGCCGTTAGGCAGACCGCGGCCAGAGCTGCCCGGCATGCATCACGATGCACGCGCCGCGGCTGCGTGCGCTGTCGAATTATTAATGTGCGAATCACGAGGCAGGCGCTTTCGGCCGCTTGCGCGCCACTCGAGCGCCACTCGAGCCCGACGCGCGTGCGCCCGTACCCGTGACGCAATCCATAATTAGCCGACGACACTCGCCGAGTGTGCACCCGCTGCTGCTGCTGCTGCCGCTGCTCCTTCTCTCGAGTCATGCTCGTCCTCCTCCGCTGCCGAGAGCCCGAGAGCGCTCACCAGTCTCGCTATTGCCTTTTTTCTCCTCGTTCCGTCTCCTTTGTTTTCGAGCGCTGCCTCGCAACAGACGCACTCTTTCGCCTGATTTTGCCTCATTCCTTACGTGTGCTCGCGACCTGATTTATTTGTGATCCGCGGCCTCGGCGACTTTCGAAGGAGGCGCGATTTCGACACCGCGGTTGACCGACTTTGCTCGTCCCGATAGGATCCCCCCCCCCCCCCCCCCCTATTTTCTCTGCTCACCGTTAATTTGGTGCCGCGCGCCGCAGGCATCATCCGAGCCGCGTATGGCACATATCGCTCGCTAATGACAGACGAGAGAGCCAAAGTATTAATATCTATTGAATGGGAAAGCCCATTGGAAAGAAGCATTTTTTTCTCGAGCAAAGCACCATAATTTTCTATTACGAAACGCTTCTCCGGAGACTCGCGTATCATGGAAAATCGGCGATCCATGAAGTTGCGACGCGCGCTCTCCTCGTTGCGCATTCAATTCTGACTTTCACGTAATATTTCTTTGCCGCAGTATGGAAAGTATATTGATTATTCGTTTTCATTGTTCACTGCTTTGTTATTTTGTCCGATGACCGTCGTTCCAATTAGTATCTTGTTACGCGTTCATTGGATTTTCGTATAGCAGTTTGGTTTAGTGCGTAGAAAACGGTTAATCATCGTCATTAACACAACGAGTTCGAGACTGCTTGGTTATGGAATAGTCAGTGGCAGGTAGCAACTCGGCGTCCCGTTAGTTTTTTAATAATATACGAATATACGTCAAGGGGAAAGGAGAGCTGCGGAGATTTGTCGCCACGAGTATCTCGATTGACATTGAATTAGAGGCACTTTATCGCAGCACGCGCGAGAGAAGTTATTAGCTAGAATGAGTTAGGCTGCAGAGTTGCGTTGGTGCAGAGGCTGGTAATTGCAGCGAGGAGTTGTCGCCGTCGTCGACTTCGTCGTCTTCGTCGTCATCGTGTATGTATACATACACACGCGCCGCAGTGGGAAAATGTGGCATCTGGTAAAGCTTGTGGCCGATAAGAGAGAGAGAGAGAGAGAGAGAGAGGGAGTCGCGAATAGGAAGAGGAGAAGTGGAAGGGAAGATGAAGACTGCAGGGCGCAAGGAAGGCGTGTATATATATACATATATATATATATATATACATATATACACGCGCAGCAGCATTTATCCGCGGCAGAGGCGGCGGCGAGTTTCGCCAGGGAGCGAGATAGCAGCAATGCAATATTGCCGAGAGAGCGAGAGAGGAATGCGAGTGGGGCGAGTGCGGCCGCGACGCCAGTGTGCAACTGATGGACAGGAGAATCGAGCGCGAGGGAAGCGAGCTGCCGCATTCAAACGAGATAATGCCGCGCTGCTGTTGCCGCTGCTGCTGCTGCTGCTGGCGCTGCTGCCGCCCAATCGCGGCTGCCCGTAAAGCTCGCTGCCGATTTATTCGAGCCAGCGTGCGAGCGAGCCGAACGCCTGTTATGCGCTCGATTGCGTCACCGCTCGCAGCTCGAAAGCTCCGAAGTCCGCGAACCCGGCGAGCGACAAAAAGCCAATCTCCGGCCGCAGCAGTCTATGAGAAAATAGTCGCGCGAGCGGCATACCGAGTAAATTGAAGCAGGCGCAAAATTGACAAGAGGAAAAAAGCACGGGCCGAAGGATAGGAAAGGCGCGGGCAGTGCTCGGGAACCTTGCAGTAGGGACAGCCTCGGTGGCTTGGGAAAAGTCATTGCCCAAGTGCGGACGGACGAGAGACGGCGACGAAGACGACATTAGATCGTAGCGCTGGTTGGACTCTCGGGCGTTCTCCAGCTTTCGGCCACACGCATGCGTGACTCGGTCGGAGGGTTACGTCACGGGAGCAAAGAGACAGAGAGAGAGAGAGAGAGAGAGTGAGAGAGAGAGAGAGAGAGAGAGAGAGAGAGAGAGAGAGGGAGAGACAGACAGGCAGGCAGGCAGGCAGAAAACGGGAGACACTCACCGATCCTCTTGACGTGGACGTCGCGATTGAACGAGACGCTGCGCTCGGGCAGGCTGCGCGTCCGCGCGCCCGTCGCTTCCTCGTCCAGGTGCTCGAGGAAGAGCCGGCCTAAGCTCGGCGACTCGTTGCGCTGGACCACGGGCATCCTTTCATAAGAGCCCTCTCATTACCAATTAACTTATCGTTACCTCGCCTCCTTCCTTCCTTCTGCTAGCGTTTCGATTCGCCTCCCTGCGACCAACGTACGCGCTTTTTGAAACTACACCGCTTCTCTTAGAGGCTCGGTCGCCGAAATGTCGAGGCCCTGGAAAGCTCGACGCCCAACTGCGGGCGCATTCTATCACTCCGCTTGCTTTCTTTGCCCAAATTCCCCGAGCCGAGCTTGTTGTTTTCTTTTGGCCGCGAGAAGGGAACATAGTCCGCATCGAGGCTTGAGAAGCAAACCGGTAGCCAACGCGATTGGCTATAAATACATCCGCGCGCGGAGAGAGAGAGAAAGAGATATGAGATGAACAGGTTAAGATGAGCGTTAAGTGCAGCGACGCAACGCGCAACGCTCGTCCACGCACTCGAAATGTCGCTCGTCGGCTCGCACATCGCGGATCGCGAGAGCGTGGCTCCGCGGCGAACAATGTGGAAAGTGGCGACGGTAGACGGCCGACATCAAGTGAAATTGAATACGACTGGAGCGAGGAGGTCGCTCGTTCGGGCGGTGTCGCCGTGCGCTTTCCGTCACGTTTTCACTGCCGAGGACAATGGCACGGCGGCTCTCGCGCGCGCCGAAAGAAAAGCAGGCAAAATAAAGAGCGCCGCGCTCGCGGGCGCAGCGCGAGCGCGACAATGGCACGATGACAGCAGCGGCGCGCGCTCGGCTTCTGCGATGACAATGCCGATAAGCGAGCAACTACTGCTCGGCGGCGATGTCGATCGACCACCACGATACATTGCGGATGAGATGAGGTACGAGCAAGAGCACCGCGCCGCGATCTTTGCTTAGCCTCGATTTTAATGGGTCAGCGCTTTCCGGCAACCTGTTGCCGCCGCCGCTCTTCCGTTCGCGTCGACCGTCAAAGCTCACGCGGAAGAACAAAGATACGAGATAGGCTAATCGGCCTGTTTCTACGTTTCCCCGCTCGTTGCTCGCCAGGCGAAAGACCGAGGCAGCCCGTGCATTCATTGGCTTCCAGCAAAATGATGTAACTAGAATGCCCCGCGCGAGATACTTTCGACCGAGGACGCGCGCCAAGGCGATTTTCAAGAAACAAAGGTGAATCGTTCGCTACGCGCGTTGCCAAACGGCACGAAGCAAGTGGCGCTGATTCATTGGACAATAACAGTAGACAGTTGGAGAGGAGTCTCGCGAAAACGTCGCGCTTAAAATGCCACGCGACGGCTCGTCGCCGGGGAATCTCAAAATCCACTTAGCTGAACGACAACGACAACGACGACTGCACGTAGCCATTAGGTACAGTGTGGAGGCCGCACACGTATCAGCATTTTTAGCGCGTCTAAGGCAGCCGGAGGTTAACGATCCTGCCGGCCGCGGGGGAAAGCCTCCGCGCGAAAATCCAATTGAGATGCATCGCGGGCAACAATGCCACCGCTCGGATGCCGCGTCCACAGTCGACTGGCCAGCGAACGTAAAAAAGCACGCGCGGCCGATGGCTTCATTCGGCAATAAACAGCGCCGTCTGCAAGGTGTATTTTAGAAAGAGAATATTTTTCAGAGTCGTCGTCAAAGTCCGTGCGGCGTCCGCGGCAGCCAAATCGCGTTTTCATAGCTCGCGCATAAAAGCCTGTTATGGCTCGTTAATTTGCATGGAGATAAGTTTGGCGCGCGCGATTTCGGAGCGAAACTCAGCTGCGGGGTGAACGAGCCGACGGGGGACAGATCGTAAGTCAAGCAGTTTATCGAGGGGCTGCGCGCGGCGAGGCGCAGCCTGAAACGAGACAATTCACGTGGGGCGTCCGCGGTCAACCGGATTAGAGAGCTAGCTCTCTTTCTCTCGGCGGCGACAGGCAACGGTAAAGGGAAGAGCCCGGAGCGGGGCAGAGCGTGTAATCCGCGGATACAATAGCTTAATGAGGCCTCGTATCTCTCGTGACTGGGGAATTTAGCGTGGCGGCGGCGATTTATTTACGAGCAAAGCCGATTACAAGCATTTCGTGAAACCGAAATGGAACGCTGGCAGTCGATCGCGAGGCCCGCCACCTCTCTGTCTGTCTCTCTCTCTCTCTCTCTCTCTCTCTCGCTCTCTTTCTTCTGCCGCTCGAGCAGTGCATGCGCTCCTCAATTATCAATCGCCTCGCTCGCTCGTGCCCGCGGCAGCTCTTTCTCTCTCCCTCTCTTTCTGGTTCGCGCGCCGGCGCGTAATTAGCATAAATATTTTGCAAACCATTACTTGGCTACTTCTTTTGTCTCCCCTGGCAGCGAGCGCGCGCCAACGAGCTTTATGTTACTGCAGCCCCAAAGACAAACGAGCGCTGACTGGCAGTTGCGAGCAGCAAACATTGACAATCAGCCGGACTACGTTTGCCACGCTCGCTTTGTGCTTTGTTACGCGCGCCCGTCGCTCGCGACAATTAAATAAACCAATTTGCCTCGTTAGGTCGGCTTGAGCGATGCCGCGGGATGTTTTAGTGGGCTGGCACGACGAGATCGGACGCGAACGAGGCAGCGCGTGGACGCGTGGACGGCGGGGCTTCGGCTCGTAAAACTGACAAATTGCGAGAGTGCCGGCGCCAGCGAGGACCGGAATAACGCGCGGACGAATCGGTCGGGCTGCAAGTGGGGCGCCGGGCGGCGAGCTCGCCGGGGAGGCCGAGCAGCGCAGCGGCCAGATCGCGAGACCGCGAGAGTCAAGGTCGGAGTGCAGCGGTCCGATCGCGGCGTTGTCGGCGTTGTCGGCGTTGTCGGCGTCGTTTTCCCAGCCGCGCTCGTGCGGCCGAATCGAAAAATCGCTCGCGTGCGCGCGATCGAGCCGCGATACGACGCGCAACTTGTGCCCCTCCCCCCGTGGTGCGGCGGCGGTTGCGGCGGCGGCAAGCGCTCGCTCGCCCTCTGGCGCGGGCCGAGCGGGCCGCCTCGGCGCAGCCCCGGGAACGGGGCAAGCTGCGCGCGCTTATCGCGCCTGCCGTGGCCTGCCGTGGCCTGCCGTGGCCTGCCGTGGCCTGCCGTGGCCTGCCTCGCTCGACATTCGCGCGATCGCGCGGAGTAGCGCCGTAATGACACGTTGCCGCTGCCGAAGCAAGGTCGCGCGCTCGCAGCGCGGCCCTTCCTTCCTCGCGCGCTTCCCTCCTGCTGGCTCGCTCACTTCCTCCCGTCCCTTTTTCTCCTCGGCAGCCTCCCAGCCATTAACTGACTGCCTGCCACCTATAAATAACCCTCTTTAACGCGTATATGTAAACAAGCCGCTCAACTCGTGCGCTGATTAAAAACACCAGCGCTGCCGCTACCGCCGCCGCCGATGAACGTTTTCATTGAGATTCCGGCAGTCCCACTCGTCTCGTCTCCGCGCTCGCGAGGTGCGCGCGTGCACGCGTTTCTCCGCCGTGCGTTGCGCGTCGGCGACCTCTCGAGCGCGACAGTCGCCTGCGCCGGCGCGTTATCCGTGGCGTCGGATTTTTACGGCCGCGCCCGCTCGGCCTCGTTAAATCGGCGGCAAACGCCTCGTTCGGGCGGGCCGAGCCATCGAGGCGAGCGCAAAAAGCTTGAGCGGGCCGCGTGCGGAGGAGCCGATAAGGTAGCCAGGCGATCGGCCGGGGGGGGGGGGGGGGGGGGGAGGGGCGCTTGCGTTTGGCTGGAACGCGGGCGAAAGGGAGTCGAAGGCAGAAATGGAGATCGGCGAATTCCAAGCTGTCGGGGTGGCCGGCCTCGGGCTCGCGGATCGCCTCGTTGTTCGCGTCCTGCTCCGCACTCTCCGCCAGTGGCTCTCGTTCGTCCTCGAGAAAAAGAAATAACGAGGACACAACAAAAAACAAAGCACGGGAAATGGAGTAAGAGTGAACAAATGGAGAAGGCGAAGAAGCAGGAGAGAAGAAGAGGAGCAGGGGGAGGCGCGCGCTAGACGAGCGAGTCGGAGGCTGTGCGCGTTGCGAGGAAGAAAGTGAAACGGAGAGGGGGAGAGGGACAGGGCGGCGGAGGTGTGCAGGCAGCTCGGAGCGCGGAGAAGAAGGAAAGGGAGAAAATCGAGGCAGCTTGTTTCACTTGCTCATCTCCTTGTCGAGGACGCGCGGCCGCGTACCGCTGGCACCTTGCCTCGCCTGTGGCTCGCTGGCCCGAGCCAGACGGCCGCGCAGGCTGCCGCTGTCGCTTGCCCAACTTTACTGCTGCACGGCGCCGCTCTCGCTCTCTCACGCTTCGCATGGTACGGGATCTCCGCGCGATCCGGCCGCTCGCGCATCTAATTGCCACACTTTTCGCGCCATCCGAGCCGCTCGGCGCTACGCGCGAGATCGCTTTCGACGCCGCGGCGAGCGAGTCATGAGAGAGTCGCGCCGTCGCTCGCCGGCCAATTATCGGGAAATGAGCGCGGCGCGCATTATCGGGCGCGATGCCAAGTCGAGACGAGGCGTGGTCGTGCAGCTGCCGGCGATCGCGGGCGCGGGATGAATATTCAGCCGATCGCGAGTCCAGCGGAGGAGAGCCGTGTGGCGTGCTAACGAAGGGAGGCTCGAGCGCGCTGCCGAAGCTAATTGAAATTTATATAGCGAGGCGCGCGGCTGCCGAGCGCGCGCGCCGATTAAATTGTAATGCGGGAATTTATCGGCCCGATGAGACAGCCAGTTTACTCGAAAATTTCGTTTATTTGCCGATGCCGCGAGGCCGATACAGCGCCAGCACGAGCGCGCAGCCCCCGAGATCTTCATCTGCGCGCTGCGCCCGGCGAGCGCGCCGCCGTCGTTTGTTTGTCGCGCCGACCGCTGCAAGCTTCAGCTATTTTATGATGGGTCGCGAGTCCGAATGGAACGCCCGAGCGCCGATCAAAGTCTCCGTTAACGCGCTTTCATTGATCCGACCGAGGCTGACGGCCGGCTCACGCGGCCTTCGTCGACCGTTCCGCGCCTCCCTCCCCGGCTCCTGCTTCCCTCCTTCCGTTATTTTTCCCGCTGCCCGCGCGAAGCCCTATCCGCGGATTCTACGTGCCACCCGCATTATTCATACGCGCCGACTGCCTCTCTCTCGCAAATTGCGATATTTATATGCCTTTGACCTGCTTTCTTACACCACTTGCTTGACTCTCTTATTTTTTACCGTTTCACGCTGGTTTTTCTCACCACTCCGCGCTAATAAATGCCGTCCAACTTTTCACAGCGCACTCCCACAACTCGAGCGCGCATCGAACCGGCGAGGCGAACGGCGCCCGTGAATTGCGCACCAGATCGCCCCGAACCAAGAGGACGGATGCGCTGCGCTGTCGCGGTGGCGATCGATTCGCCGACACAGACTCGCCGCGCCACTCCGCGACAAAGCACCAGGCGAGAGCGCGCCGCGGCCGGCCGCCGCTTTTACGGAGGCGGCGGACCGAACGACCAAGCGGAAAACCTGGCGTCGCCGAGCTCGACGGCACAGAACAGAGCGGCGCACTAGGCTCGGGCTGCCGAGCGACAGGGATGATGCGCGTACGAGACGGGACGGACCGCTGCGGCGCTGCGGCGCACTGGGCACGTGCGCACCGCCGATTTCACTTTCCAGCCTGGCTGCGACTCGACCGACTCGGGCGGGCGCCGGGCGCAGCCGCGCCTTGAGCATTACCTTCTGGGCCAGGGCCTGGGCGAGCCGAGGTGCGGGGGCTCGGCAGCAGAGGCTCCCCGCAGGCGTCCGCCGCTGCGCAGCTCGAGGTCGCCGCCGACGGGCACTCGTCGCGGCGCGAACTCGGGGCTCGCGCAGGGCGCAGACGGGCACACGGGCACACGGGCGCGGCGGCGAGGCCGCAGCTCGGCTGGACGCAGGAGGGCCCGAGTCGGCGCTCGCGCCGTCTGACACTGCGCTCACGCGGGTGCGAGGTGCTGCTGCGTGCGATCGCGCGGCGCGCGCGTTCTGGAGGCGACTAACGGCGCGGCGCTCGTCGGCCGCCGCTCGCGCCGCGCCGAGTGGAGCCGCTGCGAGGGCAGGGAGCCGCGGCGCGCTGGCGGGGGGAGCGGGCAGCGCGCCGCCAGCGCCGAGCGAGCGACGGGGAGAGAGAGACGCGTAGCGGAACTCGTCGAGAGGAGCGCGGCTCCGCGCGCAACCATCCTACGCCTGCGCGCGCGCGCGCACGCCGCGCCGAGGTGCCCGCGGAATCCCGGTTCCGCGGCGCTGCGCGCCGACTGCTCCTGGCGAGGGCGCCCTCCGCCCCGGCGCTCGCCGGCGGCGCGCGCGCGCTTTCTCCCGACGCCGCCCGACCGCCGGCTCCTTTCCCGTCGCCCGCGGCGGCTCGCACCTGCCGGCGGCAGCGCGCGTATCTCACTCGGTCAAGGCCTCGCTCGTCGCCGAGTCGTGCTTCGGCAATCGGCGCGAGTGCGTAATCCCGCGAGAGAGCGCGGCGACGAGGCGCGCGGACGCCCGTTCTCGACTTTTTTGGCCAGCGCCGTCGCGCCGCGGCTGACGCATCGCGCGCTAAGTGTATGTTATTATAGCAGGCGCGGACGAAAAAAGCTCGGGCGTCCTTTTCCTCCTCGTTCCTTCGCGCTCGCTGGTCCGCGACTGGCCGGCCGCGTGCACTAGGCTCGTTTCACAATGGCGTTCCGTTCCACGCAGGCATGGGCTCTCGTCTCGTTAGCGCGCTATTATCAACGAGCTAAAGACCTCTCATGGGTTCGCGCGACTGCCCGTCGAGCTGCAATAAGGCAGTTCCGGCTGGAGACTCGGTCGAGCCTGTTCGAGCGGTACGCGCGCAAGCTCCTGCGCGCCGCCCGTCTTATCAAACACGCCAATAGTTAGACCATTATGCTCGCAGCTGTTGCATTGATAAGGCGTGCATCTGCTTTGCGCTTGATTTATTAGAGCGCCTTTCGCTGCCAGGGCCATCCAACGGCGGCGGCGCGATCGCTCTGGCTCGTGGGCGACGTCGGAGGATCGGGCAACGAAACGCCCTTCGCCGACCGCGGCCCCGTCAACGGCACTCGCGCGCCCCGAGCAGTCGCCCAACCGTACGAGTGCGCGTAACGCGAGCCAGCGAGCAGTGCGAGAGATCGCCGAGCAGCGATTCGGCGAAGGACGGATGACGGAGGAAATGGGCGTAGGCAGCAGATAAGAGGGGACAATATCGGCGCCGAGCAAAATGACGGGTTCAACGGTCGGCGCGACTTTTGCTAATGTTGAGGCGAGATACGGCCTTGAACTTAGCCTGGACCAGGCGGCCGCTAATGACCAACGAATGCGCGTGCCTACGGCTATACGCAGCCAGCAGAATCTTAATTGGCTGAGTTTTTAGCAGCACCGCGCGAGTTCTCTCTCTCTCTCTCGCTCTCTCGGATTTTTACTGCGCACGCTTTCGTCGGCCAATAAGCCATCCGACTAAACGCCCTCCAAAGCAAAGGTCGGATCGACCGGCTGGCTGGTCAGCGAGCGGCGGACTCACCGCGCCGATTTCCGTTCCGAGACAGAGAAACCTGTGCGACCACGAGGATGCGCGACGCATCCGCTCGAGTGCGTAGCGAGATCCAGTATTTCCAGTATACAGACGCGCCAGGCGAGCGCGACACTTCATTTATAATGCCAGCGAGTACACAGGCGGCGCAGGACAGCGGACAGGTCGTTATGCGCGCGCGGCTGCGTTCCGAGGGAGGCCGCGGCTCAATTCGGCGCCGGGCGTAGGCGAGCTCGCGCGCAACGCGCAACGCGCACCGCTCCGAGCGTACGAGCGGCGCGCGAGCGGGCCCACGGCAGACTCGCGGGCGCAAATAAATCAGCTGGTCGGCATCGGCGATGGGTCCTAACGAGCCGGCCGGTCTGGCATTCCGGTTCCAGTCTGGACCGTGGCGCCGCGCGCTGCTCACTCGGCCAGCGGCCGAACGCGCCCGAGCGCTCCTCAGTGTTCACTCGCGCGCGATCCGAGCCTGATCCGAGCCTGATCCGAGCCTGCGGACGGCCGGCCGGCCCAGCGGAAGGCCCGACGCAACAAGACAATCGGCGCAAAGTTCGCTCATCGATCATGCGCCCCGCACGACTCTTCCTCGAAGTCGACCTGCTCAGCGCCGGACCTAGGCAAGATTATTGCCACGAGAGGAGGAGAAGCCGCAGCGTATGGGAGGGAGGAGGAGCGGCTGGCGGCTGGCGGCTCGCGGCTGGCGGCTCGCGATTTATCGCTTGATTATTAACCATTTTTCCGACATTTCGATACTGATTTATTTCTAATTATATCAGCCTGCCTGCTCTGGGAGCCTCTCGTTTTTCGAGCGATCGCTCGCCAGCCAATTGATTTTGCGCGTCTCGACTGATGCGCCTCGCGAGCGTTCCGTCCGGACCGGGCGCTCGGCTGCCCGAACCCGTGCACCAACTGTGCCAACGACACTCGCAAGGCCCGCGTTACTTTTGACCATCCCCGTTTCCATTGTCGTTTCAGTCCATTTGTCAATCGACATCGAAGGGTCCGCCGACGTAGATGGAGCAGTCGATGCACGCGCGAGCCCGGCTAGGTGTGCGAGTAACAGTTACAGCGAGTCGAGTAGTGGTTGCAGGCAGAGGAAGAACGAGTCGTGAAAAAAGGGAAAAAGAAGGAGCAGGGAACGCGCGAACGCTCGCAAGTTTGCGGTATAACGGTGTGCGAGCGCAAGTACCGAGACTGGAAGCGCGACTAAGAATAAGTAGGTATCTGCACTGGATAGATCGTGATTCGCGCAGCCGACTATAGACTCAGGCAGCGCGCGAGCGAGCGAGTCGATAGGTCGTCCGCGCCAGCACGGAAGATCCGCGGCAGATCGACTCTCTTCTCTTTCTTCTTCTCCTCCTCCTCCTCCTCCTCCACCCCCTCGTCCTCCTCGGCGCGCACAATTTTTGATCGAGCTTGAGCCGAAGCCGTTACGGCCATACGGCTGCACTGCAGGCTCTGGCACCAACTACTCACGATTTCCATAAGTCAGCCATGAGCGACTCAGCGGCGCACTCGCCACTGATTTATGAGAGCGGCACAATGCGCTGCTCCAGCCAACCCAAAGCTAACGTCTCCGCTATACACAAGAAGCCGCAAGCTTCATTCTCATTTCGCTGCTTTCGTTTTTTATTGCGCTGCCAAGTGTTCTATGCGCCAGCTCCGATTCGTCTGCGCCGTATAAATAAGCCATTTTTTTCTCGCGCGAATGTCGATTCACCGAAACCATAACGGTCCGCGCTTGGAAATTCGTTCCTCGTGCACGCCCAAACTTTAGGCTTTACCACTTTAATGGCCGTGCTTACGTGTCAAATAACGCGTCAAAAATCCTTTTTTTCCTCTTATGTCTTCTTGAATATACGCACGCTTCTGTCTTCATTGATAACTAATACATTGCCTACTTTGTAGAAATCATAACCACGGCCGTATACATTTTCTTACATTTTTATTCAATTCCTTCATTTCTCATACAATTATCAATACACATTTATAAATACAAAATAAATATTTTATTTTTTATACAAAATCTTCCAGAGACATCCACTGTCGTCTTTTCAACCCTCGTCGATTGCCAATTTCAGAACCGAGCTTGTCATCAAGTTGGAAAGAACGACAATGTGTAATATTTACACTCGAAAGTATATTTCAATATATTCTCAATTGTTTAAAAAAATATTAGAGCCTTTATCGAGTGAAATATTTTAAGGCGATCGGACTGTGATGATCAACAATTGTTGATAAATTATCATCATTAACTTACATTTTTATCGACAATATACATAAGATTAATTTTTTGGTAAATGCTTGTTAAATTTTACATAATTTTTCACTCACACATAATTTCTTCAAAGTTAAACGTCGAGGTAAATATGATTAGTGCGATAAACACCAATATGACTTTTGATCAAATCTACCAATATCTTTTATCATGTTTAAGAAGTTATACTCACACAAAATTACAATTACGTTCCACATTAACAAGTTTGTTTCAATCTTTGTTGAGTTACGATACAAATTATAGTGTTTATACGATTTTTCACGACCATACGTTCACATTTACATACATCTAGAACAACTAATCTTAAAATTATTAAAAAAATACATGTTCATCATTTCGGAAATAATATGCATGTGCGTTTCATTTCGAGTCAAAAATTAAAAAAATAATACTTTACTTGTTTATCGAGTCTTTCAATGGCTATTTCAAAATTATCGCAGTATTAGTCACGTAGAGTAGTCTTTGAGCTTAACTTTACATTGAGGTATGCATTGTTCTCACCGTCATTACCATAGTAAACATTTATAAATCAGTAGAAATAATAGTTTATTTGTTACGTGGAATTTCGAATAGTGAAATCAAACACTGCAATAATGTGCCACTGGAGCAGAAACACATATTTTCTCTTGGAATAACATTAAAGCTATTAATGTGTTTATAAAATAGTCTCATAAAAAACTCATCAGGTGAGTACGTTTCATGGATCCGTTGAAGCTTTGACGAAAAATTCTGATATATTCAACTTACAAAAATATATTTATCATGGAAAAAAGAAAAACTAGCTTCTGACTATGCATTAAATATCTTTGTCGATTGATTTTGTCAATTTGATTTCCAATTGAATCTAAGGCATGATTAGTTGTTATATTATCTGCGCGTAAAACAATAATCGATAAATAAATGCAAGCTGATTAGTTCATTATCATAGTTTTTCTTTCGTTCTTCAAAATAAGCAGTCTCGAAAAAAAGCTCACTAAATAAAAAAGTACGCAACAGTAAATGTTCATATAAACTTCATCCTCGTACATAATTATGTAACTAGTTTTTGTCATGTCTAGGTAGCGCGCGTCCTAAAATAAAAATAGAAAAGTTTCAAGCGAAAATAAGCGATTTTCCTACTGTTGATTTAAATAAGTTAATTGCATTGGCAAAGGTTTGCATTGTCGAACAAAGGACAGCTGCGACTAAGGGTAAAATAAAATCAGTTCGTACCTCACTGGACTGCTGCTCATTGACACCACTACAACAAACAAACAGAAAATCTACATAACTAGGACACAGACTGAAAGAATGGTGGCTCGACAGGGCGAACGAGGAAAAGGAAAATGATTCAGCTGATGAGGCCGCAGCTGCTGAGGTTGTTTTGTATAATGACGTCGGTGACGGCGTCGAAGACGAACTGGATGTTGCTGGTGTCGGTGGCGCACGTAAGATGAGAATATATCTGCTTCTGCTCTTTGCGCTGGTTTAGGTCCTCGAACTTGATCTGTATATAGGCGGCGCACTCGTCGAAGGTGTTGGGCCCACTGTACTCGGGGAAGCAGATGGTGAGCGGGCTCTTGGCGATTTTCTCGGCGAAGATGTCCTTCTTGTTGAGGAAGAGAATGATGGAGGTATCGACGAACCATTTGCTGTTGCAGATCGAGTCGAAGAGCTTCATGGACTCGATCATGCGGTTCATCTCCTCGTCCTCGGCGAGCACCAGGTCGTACTCACTGAGGGCCACGCAGAAGATGATGGCGGTGACGTCCTCGAAACAATGGATCCACTTCTTGCGCTCGCTGCGCTGGCCGCCCACATCGAACATCTTGAACTGCAGGCCTTTGAAGGAGAAGCGGGTCTCGACGATACCGGTGGTCTTGATCCTGGTCTTGAGCACGTCCTGCTGGCTGGGCACGTAGCCCGGCTGGGTGATGCGGTCGAGGGCGTTCAGGTAATAGGCCGCCGAGTCGTTCAGCTGGTACTCGCGGCTGCGCGCGAAGCAGGCCTGCACGCCGGCGTCTTGCCAGAGGCCCTTCATCAAGCCCACCAGCTCGGGCCCGAGCTCGCCCTCGGGCGTCGACGAGGCCATCGCAAAGAACTCCCTGGCCAGGTTGGCCTTGCTCGCCTCGGCAAACTCGATCTTCAGCTGGCCCATCGCCCTGATGATGGTCATCAAGCTCTGGATGGTGTTACTGTAGACCACCGGCTTGTTCTGCTCGCACTCGTCCGGGCTGAAGCCGCTCTCGTGGATGATCTTCATCTGCTTGACGATCGTCGACTTGCCCGACTCGCCGGCACCGAGCAGCAGCAGCTTCACCTCGTTCGCCGCCTTCTCGCCGTCCGCCCGCAGGTCTTTGTCGATCTTCTTCGACCTCTCGGCCGCGGCCTTGTCGTCGCTGGAACTCGCGGCGCAGCCCATCCTCACCTGCTTCGCGACGCTTGCCTGCAACAGTCGGTATCGGCTGCGATTAGTCCCGTTCCTGCCCCCCGCCGCACGGTCGGCACTGCGTGCAACGCGCGTCCCTGCTGCTACGTCGACATTGATGCCGGCATATTGCTCGATTACGTGTATCCTCGTTTTATTACTCGTGTCAGCCGAGCACAGACAAGAGTGAGCGCTCGGATAGAAACCAGAACACGCTTCTTTTCATTTTTTAAACGTTCAGTGGATTGCGACCGTCTGTTACACACGTGTAACAAATACATTTTCATTCAGCATTGTATCAAGAAATTACCGAATTTAAATTATTTATTTCAACATCAATACTTTTCAAAATACAAGTGTCAATTCTTTTAATTCTCTTTTAAAACCTACCTAATGTTTGTTTGATCTTATAAAAACCTCTATTCTATCATGTTTTATTTTTATCATACGTAATTTTCAGTCTCAGTCTTCCATCCAAATAAGTGCTAATTACCTTGAGCATTTTTCTAGCTAGCTTCAAATTCCTTGTTTTACAATAAATCTAATCAACTTTCAATCTCTTGTCATTAATCTGACAAACATATCAAACTTAAAATTAGTACTTTCAAATATATCAACTTAATTCATGATCACAGCATGTGCGGATATTGTATATGTGGATACTAATAATCTGTTTAAACATTACTTAGCTATTAATACAAAAACTTCTAAATATCTTTTATTTAATGTATGGCTTTCAAGTTTGGCAGCTTATAAATTGAGTTTTTAGGATTAATCTTGAAGAGCATAGTTGAATATACTTTTAATTTTTATTTTCTCCTTGTGACATTGAATTATCATAAATATATAAACAAGTTGTTTACCAAAAATCAAAACTTGAATCAACGGACATGATGTAATAATATCACGTAATCAAGATACATATATCTGTAATATACGTTCTTTAAAAACTATTATTAGTTTGAAAATTATATGTTTAAGACTCCTGATAAAATTATAATAACATTTTACTAATTGTAGAAAGATATCAGTAATATGGAGAACATAGACATACAGTATTTTATGTTTGATTCTCTGATGTAAATAATCCCAATTCATTGATGACGGAATTGAAAGAATTAAATTATGATCATGAAGTTCAGATTGAATGGTCAACTCCATTTCTTTTTTTCACACATACTTAATACTACTTTACAATTTCAGACACGTACAAGCAATAAAACTCATGGTACTTATTAAACTATATACAATGTTCAATTAGACAACTGGGCAACTACTTATGCTAAAGATAAAATATATTTTTTAGAGTTCAATGGTACATACCTTTAGGAAATTAATGTTTAGGACGTTTTCAAACAAAGGTTAGTTCTGAAAACTACTGGAGCAACCAGTTGCTTCCTTCAAGCTACTGTATATCCAACAATCAAACAACAAACTGTGAAATTATTAAAGCCGCTATTGTACGTTTGAAATGGAAAACAAACGTAAGAAAATACTGCAAACAAATGCCGTTTGTTGAAAATTTCAACAGAAAATGCAACCCTTATACGTAAGGCACATCACAGAAAAAAATCCACGATTTGTTGTACTCAGTGAAGCAGCTCCGTATTGTGTGCAGTAGGTCCCGAAAGAACACACGTAAAAACGAAATCACACTAATAGGAAAATCGTTGGAAAACTATAAACTAAAGACTAAACGAACTGATTGGGTCGGAGGTGCGTCCATGGGAATACGATACAATACGGCCTACGCGTCAGGCTAGGAAGCTTGAATCTTGATATGCATAATAAAGAGTTGACGCCCGTTCTGCGATCGATCGATAAAGTCGAGGGTGAGTCTTACCGACCGAGTAAGTGCGTCATATCTTAGCGGGCCGTTCAAATTCAAATACGTCACATTGGGCACGGAGCGCAAGAGACTGATCGACAAAAGCGATATCCTGAGTGCGGTAACGAAGCGTGCAGGGTAAAAGAAACGATTGGAATCTCCAATGTGATGAATAAGCGTTCAATGAAGCCTGTCGAACGGTTGGGAAACAGCCGAATCAAAGATGCGCGGTAAAAAAGAAAAAGTGAAGTTAAGAAAAGGTTAAAAAGTGGGTCGAATGAGGCGATGAAAGTGGAGTACGAGTAGTGATTACGACTGTAAAGCAATGAATCTGACGGTGACGACGTAATGAGTAGGGGAGACGAGGTGCAGAATGAAAGTGAGTTTGAGGGATTGCAGCTGTGGCGCGATGCGTATACGGCGAAGCCCGCGAGCACATCAAGGTCCCAAGCGGAGAAAAATCGCGGATAAAGTAGCGGCTGGCCGCGGTACGCCGAGGATGAGTTTTATAGCACTCTGCTGATGCACTTGTTTCCACGATACACACGTATACAGGCATCCATGAGAGCGAGCGCGGCCGCGAAAGCGAGCTGACGTTGATGTACGTCACGACCTTGGCTCTCGCTCGCCAGCTCGCGCAGATTGCCGAGCGAATCAAGAATCAGAGAGACAGGCTGACATCAAGTGCTCCGGATAAGAACAATCCTCCTTAGCCGCAGACGCGAGCAAGCGAGCGGCTGAGAGTAAGGGAGAACGAGAGCGAGAGAGCGTCATCAAGGATCCGCGGGAATAATAATTAGGTTTGGTCTGGATCCACTCCGGCAGCAGTGCCAGTGCGCATTCTCGCTTTCTCTGGCGAGCCGAACGACAAAAACCACCCGCAGGAGCGCGCGATCGACGATTCTCGCGAGCCTGATTTATTCCGGAACAGCGCGGCGCAAAAACGAGCGTGCCTCTGTCCGCGTGGAGACCGCGTCCCAAACGGCTAAGCAGAGATCAGCGACCGCACCCCGAGAGAGCTCCTCGCCGAATCTTAGATCCGCGGCTTTCGATGAACTAGGCTGATTGAAGTTTCCGGGCGGCAAGGCCAGAGTCGGCGCGCGCACGGCACAAAAAGGAGAAATAAATAGCGAGTAAGTTGCGGATTGCAAGCGGAGACGATCGACAGGAAAGGGCCGAAGGGAAGGCCGGTGGGAGACAATGTCTATTTCCCGTGAAGCCTCGCGAGGAGGAGTAGCGCTCCGAACGGGAGGCAGCGATGGGCGAGGCTCGACTGCGGCTGAAAAAGTGGGCAAGAACGAGCGCCGGATAATATCACAGTCCATCGAATCTAATGGATTCCCGTCAACAAGGCAAATTTCAAGGCTGGCGTTTCAAGCGTGAAAGAGCTGTTCGGCTGCCAGTCCCGGTCGCAGTCTGTCTCCGGCTGGCCGCCGACCTTTACGGCAGCAGCCAATTCAAGTTATCGCCGTTCGGCACACGCTGCACCAGCCGCAAAAAGGACCAGGCTCGATAAACGAGCTCGAGCTTCTCGCCAATTGCCGCGCCTATCTAGAGCACTGTCGCGCAAACGGCTCTGCCGGCAATTAAAGCCTGACCGCCGCCGAGAGCCAGCTTTTATTGAGTTGTCCCGCGACTTTTCTCGGAACGCTGCCTGCGAACCTACGTTTCGCGGCTTCATTTTCACGCTAATGACCGCTTCCGAAACTACCCGCCACTGCTTAACTGCATCGTGAATCACACTAGGCCATCGTACATACCGTGGACGTTTTAATTATCGCTCGATCTCTGCTGCTGCTGCTGCTGCTGCTGCTGCTCCTCACCGAGAGGTGCACCTCCGGCACGCACAATCAAACCCTCATTCAACAAACAGCCCATCCTCATATTTCTTTTTAGTTCGAACAATTTTTACTTGAATCAGAGCCGACTTTACTGCAACGTTAGTCATTCGCTTAGCAGAAATAAACAAGACTTTTTTCATTATGCTCATTTCATTTATTATAAAATAACATCAAGCTCTTGAAAAATCCTTTCGGTAACATTGGTTTCTTACCTAATACAAATAAGACAGTTAAATAATGCAGTACCTAATGATAGATATAAACATTTTAATTAATTAAAAAATTCGGCAATTTGGATTTTAAAAACGCAAGTACATTTTTTGCAAATGAACCTTAGCCAAAGTAAACATTTCTGAAAATATTTTAATTAAAAGAATTACTATTTTTCTGACAACTCCAAACATTAGATTATATCTTTTTTAAAGAATAACTGAATCAATGGTAAATTCATAAATTACATTTATAAATATTCATTATATTAATAGGTAACAAAAAATAAATACTAAATCATAACTGTTGTGTCTTTATCTTGCTACTTCAATAATTCCATAAGAGTTTCAATGATTTTATTGATGGTGCGCAGTTCAGCTTCTTCTCTAGTTGCACCTAGGCTCATTTCCAGAATGTCTGGAACTGTATTCAATTGTATTATCAACATATAAGTTGCAGGACTTGGCGTTTGCAATAACATGTGATGAAAGTCAATGTTTACTGATTCCAACATAGCTTCAAACTTTTGTTTTAATATTTTAAGATTTTTTTCATTAATATTCTTTTGAAACTCTTTCAACAAATTTTGTAAATATTCTAGATTTGGCAATAGAACTAAAGCTAAATCTTCAGAGCTTTGTACCTCTATTTTCTCCTTCTCAGCTTTGAAACTATAATTTATTTGTAACTTTCCAGGCTGATCTGTTGATTTCTTATGTATGGATTTAAAAATACCATTACTATCATCTCTACTTTTATCTAATGTCTTTGTTTGTTCTTTATGCAGTACATTATTTAAAGAGAATGTGTTTTCTATTGTTTTAATCATTTTAGTTGCAGCATTCATCTTAGCTTGTTTCTTTGTCGTGGCGTTTCCATTTTCAACCAATGTAGATACTATGCACTGAATCCTAAAAATGAGAGCATGTGGAGGACCTGTGGTATCTAGTTCATTAAAAACAGGTTCTTCAAATTCATACTTGTTACATAGTTTCTGAAAAATGAATATAAATTTGAAAAATCACTATTCATTGTAATATCATAATCTGAATAGAATAGCATATAGGTACTTTTAATTCTTGTAATGCATTAGTATCATTCACAATAACATTTGTCAATCGTGGTGATGATTTATTTGTCGATGGCATAACTATTCGGTTATTAATAATTTTAAGCATTGATAGTGCAGCATTTTGTTTAGCCTCTTTTTTTGATTGTCCCGAGCCTAAAGCAGTAACTCCATCACAAGTGACTTTGCACGTAAATACATATGTATTAGAATCTAAATTATTTGAACAATACTCATAAACAACATTGCTTTTGATTTTTGACATCATTTCATTCAAAATGGTGATAGGAGTTTTTTCAGCCATTGTATCGATAGCAGTTATTTGAAAGCTAAAAAAAGAAATTATGAATTATCTATAGTTTTGAAAATAAAAATGTTTTTACAATTAAATTATCTCGAATTATTGCATTTTTTTCATAATTGAATTAATTTCAACATGAAAATTATAGTTTCACAAACATGAAGTCTCAAATTTTTTCGAAGAAACTTATAGACAAAAATAAATCAATATATGATTATGTAAAATATCTGGCATTTAAATAAACATAAGCACCTTTATATTTTAGGTTAACGATTTATTTCCTACACCATTGTAATTACTACAATATCTGTGCATACTGCATAACCGCACACATAAATATTCATTATATTGTATTATTAGACAATAAAGTTGAATAAATTTGCTCGTAAGCAAATAACGAATAATACTTTGTTGTCAAAAACAATGAATACTTACGTAATTTGTGCTTATGTTACGTTACATACATAAAAATATTAGAAACTATTCAAGAGTGGAAGAATCGCCTATAGTGAGATCCAATATTTACAAGAAATTACTTTTCTATACGCAGTCACTCTCGTAGCCAGTGTAACACGTGACGCCGGCCGGTAACGACTTGTTGCGCTCGAACTCGAAAGACAAAGAAAGGTGCTTTGCTTGTTTTCCTTGGAAGTCCGCGTATATAACGTTACAGAATCTATTTCGTATGTAATCAACTTATATTTGAGTTTTATTCAATTTATTTAATCTTCAAGGTGGTTTTTTACATTTGGCAATATTTGTATTCCAAATTTATTAATTTTGAGATCTTATCAATAATTATTGTTCATTTTGTCAGGCAGCTTTTTTGCAATATTTCTACAACATTTTTATAACAAGTTCATGAAACATTGACTCAATCTTGCTACAATTTTTTCTCAATGTTAAATAAAGCATTTTTCGCTAGAGGTCAACATTCACGTAACATTCCTGTAACATTTTTGCAGTTACATGTATAATGTTGACTGAACATCATCGTGACTCTCCTAAAACAAATCATTTTTGCTCGTTATAAAAATGTTGACTATCGACTTAGAATTCATTTGTTTTAAAAATATTGCGACGACGTTGAGTCAACGTTTCGCTCCTATAGTTGCAAGAATGTTGCACCAATGCTGGTCTTGATAAAAAAAATGATTTGGTGCTCCGCGGTGAGCAAATATGCAACCTCTGAGCGACCTTCGTTGTCCGAATCTGCTAGAAAGACTGTATGTTGCGCAGAAATTCCAATTTGCAGTGGATGATCATCTCTCCCTGTGAACACTGCTTCGCCCCGAATGTATTAGTCCGAGCGGGACACGCCATAAAAGATGTTTTTTTGTTATTATATTTATTATTAATCATAAATGTTTTTTTACATCTTTAATTAATATTGTAATTGATTTTTCTTTTGGTTTATTTTTTTTTAATTAAATAAATTGTCAGCATTAGGATCTGTAATTGTAGAATTGAATTGTGGACTTCCTTCTACTTTCCATCCCAAGCTCTCTCACGCGTAAGCGTCGCAATTTGCACACCCGGCAGGTTGCTCAGTAGTTGAAGTTTTTTTTGCCTTCCGGATTCCCACAAATAATTTGGTAAATGGAGTTGCGGGTGGACATTAATTGAAAAACAACTATTCTCTTTTTACCACATTCAATTGACTCGAAATTAATCGATTATTTTTCAACATATGAAAAAGATCGTTAAAAAGAGCAAGTATTTGAATTTAAATTTATTGATCCAAAAAAGACAAAGTTCATGAATTATTCCACGTACATTTGTAATTGCCTAAAGAGTAAACAAGTAACATGTACATAGGCTGGATACATAAACAAAACTTATATACTGTGGATAACAAACTATATTAGAATATATATAGAATACATATAGTTCGCTTACTTATATTTAGCACTATTGTACTGCTGCTATAAGCAAACTCACATTCTTACAATTGGGCATTTTGTCTTTACGTACGAGATGTTCACCAGAATCTGAAGGGCATTTGTTTAGCGGTAGTGAGAAGTGAGAAGCTAAGCTTAAAATATTAATTTTTCAAAAATTAAATAGATGTCTTATATATTATGAAGACTTCAAATTTATGTTTAGTTTTGACTTTATTGTTCAATTAAAATTGAACAATAATTGACTGCACAAATAAAAATATATCTGTGTCCCGATTATGGATCGAGGCATAATGTACTTGATTGTAATAAAATAAATAAATACGCTGATCAGTAATAACATGGAAATAAAAATAACTATACTACCTATATTTATAATGAAAAAAATTCTAATTTGAGAGATATTTAATGATATACATGTTGTCATTCCATTGATGAAGTATTTTAAATTTAAATTACAACTACAAAAATTGCAAAAAACGACTATAATTTATTAAACTTTGCAAGCCGGCCTAAATTTGTCTTTCTAACAAAGAGACATGCCAAAAGAATTATAAAAACTACGTGAATCGTATTGATCTGCAAGAAATCAATAACGAATTTTAGAAATTATTCTGTTTCGAATTTAATAAAAAAAAATTGATCAATATGAGCATAGCCTCTAATATTGAACCGTGGATATGTAAAAAGTATCTTACATATAGGTGATAAAAATTACGATGCAAGAGGGCTGAGGAAGTCTTGTAAATTTTTTTTTTTAATAATTGAACAAGATTTCTCTGTTAAGAAGTAAGTCTACCGGAGATGAAACTTGGTTGAAAATTCGAGTAGATAAAATTTGAATACAATGCTAAGAAATCATCCAAAATGTGACAATTAATGGCGGGTTATTTTTTCTACCTATATAATAGAAGGGAAATCGCAGTAAAATATGTCATTTTAAAAATGAGTTATAGATGAAATATAGACGGAATTCAGGTAAAAGTTTTATTATCAAATTCTAACTGCAACACACTATAGATTCTACTCGCCTCTTTTTAATGAGAACACATTTATAAATTTAACGAGTGATAAATTGAAAGATATAGTAGCGAAATATTACTGTTCCTACACGCAAGTGTGCTAAGTAAAATTTACTGACTCGCGTAATGAGATAGTTCGCATAAAATTGTTATACCGTTTATTACTTAATCATTAGATAAGTGGCTGACATCGGCGTTACAAATATGTAACATCAATTTTCATTTCAATTTCTCTTACATTAAAGAATGATACTTGGTCCGTTTTTTTTTATTTCTTTTTCCGAGGAGAGCAACTCATCTAAACTCTCACAAGTCAGTCGTACGTAGAGCGGCAATAAAAGCAGAAGAAAAAACAGAAAGTGATCGGCTTTAAAAGATCCGCCCTGCAAATGGATGCGACCGTGCTGAAATTAGCGTGAAAACGATTTGCGAATTGGCGCTGCAACCTCGCGCCAATATTTAATGAATTGCTTTTGATCCGCCGCATCTTCGGCTTCTTGGCTACTACGAGCATTTACACGTTCGTCCAATAAGCTCACGCTGTGTCTATTCGACATCACCTGGCATTTTTATTTGATTGCTCTTATCTATTTCACCATCTAAATCGAGATCTGAATTCATCGGTCTTCCACTTTTGGCATTTTCGCTGTCAATCATTTCGTCCAAGCGGTCGCAAGCAAAATCATTATCCAACACGAATGTCTAAATAATGGAAATTCCCACAATTGAATAGGGATTTGAAAATGCAGTTACTTTTAACACAAAAGCCTTAACTGTGGTTCTCAAGATCGTACGCAGGGCTTACACCTCGTATGTGTGGCCCGGCGATAAATATAGATTGTAGCCACCGTTATATCCAATCGATATAACTGCCATAATAATAATAATTTGGAAAATAGAAAATTGAAGAGGAAAAGTTGGCCTGGCTGAATATGTTTTACGTTGACTTTGAAAAGCGATCTGTCGCTTGATCGACCGATGTCGAGGAGTAGTGCCTTGAAAGTTTGAAAGCACGGCAAGTTTGTGTACGAGGTATGATATTGTTTAGGGAGGCATTTTCGAATAATTGTATTGTTGTTTATGATAGAAGAGCAAAGCATGACGCTGTTCCGTGGTTAAAGAAAAATATCGGAAGGAGAGGAAGGGGCCACGAAGGAATATCGTGTTATGTTGCCGGAGTGAAATATGGGCGAACTAACGAGTCGGAGCTTCGTGTGATAGTTTTCTCTTGGCGGGCTGTGCATGAAGATTTGAAGGCGAAAGAGTGGCGAGAATGGTCCTTTCTCCTCGGTGGCGCGCGTCACGACTCGGCGTCGGTCTTTCGGCATGGCGTTGTCGTCATGCGCGCCGATATCCATCGCGCACTCCTCGCCTTAATTTGTGCATGTTTGCCAGTGGAGCGGCGCGCGTACGTAGAGTGCCTCTTGTATTCCGATTGGCGAGATACAGCGCGGCTGCAGTCGCGGCCGAGTCGCCAGGTCGAGACGGACGAGTGGGCTATTTATTAAGCTGCATGCGAAGCTGCCCAGATCGCATCTACGAAATGAAGCGTACGCGCGATCTGTAAGCGTGTAACGGAGCAGCGTGTAGCGCCCTTGTAATTGTCGTTGCTACGAGTTAGAGATGCACGCGCGCTCCTCGGGATGTGCGTTGCGCGCAGATCTGGCCTAGAATCTCTGTGGCCCGCGAGATAGCGCAGCACACGAGCGTACATCCGCGCGATAGTCCGGGCTCCTCTCGGATGTAGGCGCGCGCGCGCGCGGGCGTATCTAGCGCGGCATTGCACACCGTCCGTCTTGGCAATCCGAGCTCGCTGTTGCACTTATCGGAGCGTCGCGCGATGACGATCGTCGCTCGCAGTCGTTGTTGGCTTCGCCGCGAGAGAGATACCGGAGCGAGGACCAATGCCGCGCGAGAGGCGAATAGAGCCGTATCGCTTGCAGCCCAAGGAAGGCCTGCGAGACGATGGGAAAAGTGTCGCGGCGCACAAGCGGCAGCGCCGCCCCCCCCCCCCCCCCCGCAGTGAAAGTGCACGCGCGCGCGCGCGCCAATAGCTGACCGGCTCTCTTGCACCTCGTCGCGCCTGCTCGTACGTTCTCGCGCTCCTCGGCTCCTCGGCTCCTCGGCTCCTCGGCTCCTCGGCTTTTGCGCGCGCGCGCGCGCGCCCGCACTCGCAGCTCCGGAGGCAGACCCATCCGCGCGTGGCTCCTTCGAGAGAGGCGCGACCTTCCGGTTGCGCAATGTCCCCCCCGCGGCCTGCAGCCGCCTCTCTCGCAACTCCGTCCGAGGTAGCCCGTCGCCGTGGCTATTTTTGTCATCGCGTACGCGCGCTCGCCTCTTCGGCCTCTTCGTCGTCCTCTTCGTCCTCTTCGTCGCGCCTCCGCGATATTTTTTACGGAACGGCGTCGCTTCTTTCTTCGGCAGTCCGCGCTTCCGAGAAGCGCGCTCATCAATTTCCAGCGTTCATCTGCCGCGCCTATGAAAATTGCCCCGAAAAAGCTCTGCACACTGCTAATAAAAATTGGCCTATTAGTCAAGCTTAGTGTAGCAGGCAAATTACAACGTCGAGCTGTCTTTTCTTCGGGCCTGCCTCGCACCACAGCCTTATCGTCAGCCATTAAAATGAAGTATAGCCTGCGAATCCCGATAGCAGCAGTAGCGGCCGCTGA